CGCCCGCGCGCCTGCTGCTGCTGCTGCTGCTGCCGCTCCTACTGCCGCTGGCGCCCGGGGCCTGGGGCTGGGCGCGGGGCGCACCCCGGCCACCGCCCAGCAGCCCGCCGCTCTCGATCATGGGCCTCATGCCGCTCACCAAGGAGGTGGCCAAGGGCAGCATCGGGCGCGGCGTGCTTCCCGCGGTGGAACTGGCCATCGAGCAGATCCGCAACGAGTCGCTCCTGCGCCCCTACTTCCTCGACCTAAGGCTCTACGACACAGAGGTGAGTGTCCAGCCGCCCGCGCCGTCGGGACTGTTGGGGGCAACTGGGAGAGCGGGCGGGGGGTGTTGGACAGAGGTAAGCTTCGGTCCTTGGGCAGAGCCCTAATTGACCTGTCCGTGCCTGCCTGGAGAATCGCGGGCTGGTACTCAGTGCTCACCCTCGGGGTCCCTCCGGGTTTGGCTGGCACAGCTGCTACCAATATTTGCTGAGCGTCTCTTTCCTCTGGGATTGTATGTGTGTATGTATGTGTGTGAGGTGTAGGATAGAAGACCAGGGTCTCCTTCAGAGAAGAAGGAATGGAGAAGGTGGGAACTGGACCCCCAATAGGCCTGCAGTGGTTGCCCCTGCCCAGGTCCCGCTTGTGTGGCTGTGGAGTGCCGGGTGGGAGGAACAGGCGTATTGACTGCAAACTGGGCCACTTGCGGCTGGGGAGGCCACGGGCCAGTTCGCGGTCCCTCAGGAGCGCCGAGCGGCGCTCTGAGGTCCGGAGGGCTCCGGGACCCGAGGGGCCAGCGCGCGCATCCGGGCTGGGCGCATGGTGCGCGCCAGCAGCTCACAATCCGCACCGCGCGGGCAGGTGTCGGGTCTCCGGCTCTGCAGCGCTGCTGCCTAAATGTGGCGGACGCTGCCTGTGGCTGGAGCGGTTATTTTGAGGAGACCCTTCTCGAGCTAGTTGCTCAGAGAGTGCCCTGAGCAGGTCTCGCCCCGGAAGTGCGGGGCCGTCCAGCGCGCCGATGCTGCTGGCCGGGCGGCTACAGGCGCAGTTTGTCCTGGCGCAGGCTTGAAGTACGGACTTAGAGCGCAGCAGCGGGCTCGCTCTCCCGGCATCCTTCTCTGAGGGGAGCCGAAGAGCCGAGAGCTTCCCATCCTAAGTCCCTTCCTCACGCCCTCGGCTTGGGTTCCGACCGAAGCCCCAGCGCGGACCTTCACTGCCTCCCCCGAGGCTGAGATGCTCAGAGGGGGCTTGGAGGAGCGATCGCCGACCGCGCGAGGTCGGGTTTGCGAGTTTTTCCGGACTAAGGAAGCCCCTACGCTCCGGCCGCGGAGTCTGAGACGCAGCCTGAAGGGGGCAGTGATTTCCTGTGCAGTAGGCTCGGTTGGCGCTTCTTCCACAGCGCCAAGCCCGGCCGAATCTCTGGGCTTGACCCCGGCTTCCCGGGGCTCTCTGAGCACTTCTGTTAGAGCCCAGGTACAGACTTGGTTGGAGAGGAGGGTCGCGCTGCCGCCCTGATGGTGTAGCCTGAGCTCTGCATCCTTCTCTATCTGGCCCCTTTTTTGTCCCCGAAAAAAGAGCAGAAATCTGGATTACATCTTATCCCCCTCTCCGCCCCCCCCTTCACGGATGAACCAGCCTGCTCTGCGCTGTAAATAAAAGGTGAAGGAACGGGTGACAGTTGGTGGCGGTGCACGCAGTCTGCTGCAAGCGGAGAGGCTTCCTCTGCCCCAGGAGGATGCAAGCTGGGGTACTGTGCAGAGCTAACCTGGCTGTGGAATCATTTTTGAATGACATTCCCATCGCCCTCATCTTTGCCCGAATATTTCGAGTTCTCTGGGTTTCTTGCCCCACACACGTAAATGGAGAGGGCCATGAAATTATACCGAGGCGTGTCTTCTCGGCACTGTTTCTCTGTTGCTTCCATACATATTCTTTTGGAAGGGACACAGGAGAGCCGGTTCTTTGGAGAGAGAGGAAAAAAAAAACATTTGTAGACAGGGCAGCCCTGTTTGCATCATCACCAAATAATGTCAGCTGCATAATGTTTTCACCATCCATTTATCCCTTCAGAAAGCTTCCCTGAAAGAGATTTCATATTAGCTTGTTTGTGGAAGCGAAGGGATGGATGCTTGGTTTCAGGGTGTGGGTTGAAGCTTTTACATTTTATTTTTCAAGTGTATCTTGATGACTTTCTGAGTGAGGGCCCGGAATCAAGGGGATGAGGCAGTCAGAAAGCTCTTCAGTTCGTGGGAATATGAAGGAAGCACAGGGAAGGAAGGCAGAAGGTTAATATCAGCCTCGTGCAAATAGGGATGCAGCTCTAGCTGTGTGAAGGGGCACAGCGCATGGGCTTTGGGGTGGGCTGGACCTGGATCCTAGTCAGAAACAGGTTATCTTTCCCCCTGGGTGACCTTGAGCGAGGTGTTTGATCTCTCGAAGCCTAGATTTCCACATCTGAAAAAGTGGGACTATTATGTATACTCTGCAGGGTGGTGATGTGATGCTTATGGGAGATAACAGACCAGAGTGGAAAATGCCTTGAGCTGGCAGGCTCCGTGGCCAGTGCTCTTTCTGGCATGCTGTAAGCTTTACGTAAATGCTTCCTACCTCTTTTCCTTCACTTGCCTCTGGTGTGGATTCACAAGTAAGACGTTGAGACGTTAGGTGTGATAAAACGGTCACAATGAAAAGATTATTTGTTTTTCTTGCTTTTGAAATCTCAGGAAGAGTGAGTGACATGATCACCAGAAAAGAAGAATTCTGGCTTACAATCAAATCATTATGTTATCTCCTGCCATGAGGGGTCACATTTGGGAGAATCCAGGTGATATAATACCTAAGTTTTTCAAGTGGCCCATCTTTAGAATAGAGGTACTTTCTCTCTGAAGCAAAGTAAAGGAAGGATCCGTCTGGGTAATTGCAGCAAAAGCTACCATTATCTGAAGGGTATTTGGGGTCTGTGTTAGAGTGTCGGGGGGCCTGTTTTATTCAGATGGGCTGTCTTTGTGGATCGTGTGTACTCCCTAATCACTTGCTGGACGTGTCACTTGTTCTTTGTAGACTTGAACACAAGATGGATGTGGCGAACAGATTTTGGCTGGCTTTGCTGACAGTATTTGTCAGTCAATGGCCAGAGACTGTGGGGCAGCTAGGATGGACCTTTGTCCACACAGCCTTCAAAGAGATGGAGATTTAGCAAGGAATGGGTTAATCTGATCATTGGGACAGCTTGTGTCAATGCAGGAGCCTCCTGGGTGCATTTATCCAGGTTGACCCTCTACTGTAATTAGAAAAGGGACAGAACATTCAAAGCCCCACTCAGTGTCATATGTTTATAAAAATGAAGCAACCCAGCAGAGCATCTGCTGGTCAGGACCTCTCTTCTCTGGTGTGCCTCAAATCACTTTAGCAAATACTTCTTTATGTTTTCCAAGTAAGGTCTGAGTATATAAAAACAAGCAAGAGAACTGAAAATACAGATAAAAGGAAGCATCGGAAACCATATAGACACATGGAAATCACTGTACCAAGAACCTGGGCTAAGATGTTTATTGCATTTTTGAGTATTAAATTTTCACTCTGAGCTTCCTGGCAGTCAAGGTAAAAAGGTAAACATGGTGGCTTACATTTTTACATATTTGATTAAAAGACTCTGAGGGACAATGTGTTGTTTAAAAAAAACAGCAAGTTTTGCAGGAGCTTCAGAAATGTTCCTCATGTGGTTGTTTCTCATTCTTTGGTATCCACATTGATACAATAAATCATAATCAAGACATGAGTTTTTAAGAATTTTGGCTTTTCTGATGAGATTGTACATATTAGAAAAATTGAAAATTATAGAAGCATGAAGAAAAATACTAATTTCCCATAATTCACCTACACAAAGATAATTACATCTAATAATTAGCATTAGTCCCTTCCAGTTGCCAGTGTTCACTATTTTATGTACTTCAGATCCTACTCAATGTGCCATTTTATGTTTTGTTTCTGTCAGTTAACATTGTATCATGGGTATTTCCCCATGTCCTCAAATGTGAAGATGATTTTTAGTGGTTATATATTATTCTATCCTATGGGTGTACCATAAGTATTAAATCATTCCCCTCTTGTTGGATTTATATTTTCTCACTTGTTACTATTTTAAATTATTCTGTAATAAATTTAGGAAAAGTTCAGGAACCAAAGGAGCACATTCCAGGTGTGCACCTCTTAGGAAGTCTACATTAATGCAGGGCTCCAGCTTAGAAAACCCAGAGAAAACCTAGTGATTGGTGAGCATGTCCTTCTCTTGAACGGCTTTGCCAAATATCTGTTCTCTCATTCATTGTGCTATAGAAAGGACCCAAACAATTGTTGGGTGGAGGACAAGCTTTTCAAGGAGGTCTGAGTACAGCTCAGCAGGCATTAATTGAGTACCTACTGCAGTTGTTGGTGCAGCAAAAAGGAGTAAAACCCAGCCCTGGCCTCAAAAGAGGAGTTGGTGCATAGGGGAGAACAGAGCAAGCACATATTTGTCATTTTTTTCCCAATTTATTTTATTTTTAAAGATTTTCATTAAAATATAGCTAGCATACAATATTATATTAGTTTTAGGTATACACCAGAGTTATTCAACATTATATGCCCAAAGAAGTGATCACCATGATAAAAGTCTAACAACCACCTGACACTACAACACTATCACAATATTATTGACTATATTCCCGATGTTGTACATTACATCCCCATGACTTATTTGTTTAATACCTGGAAATTTGGACCTCTTATTCACCTTTCCCCCCCTTTAAAATTTTTTCAATTACAGTTGACATTCAGTATTATTTTATATTAATTTCAGGTATACAGCATAGTGGTTAGGCATTTATATAATTTACTTTACTTTACATTCCCATGACTATATTGTAAAATCTACCAGTCTGTACTTCTTAATTCCTTCACCTTTTTCACCCTGGTCCCAACTCCGTCCCATCTATCACCCCAATAAATCTAGTACCCATCTGACACCATACATAGTTATTGCAATATTATTGACTATATTCCTCACCCTACATTCCCATGATTACTGTGTAACAACCAATTTGTACTTTTTCTTTTAAGATTTTATTGGGGCATTGGGGAAGGGGAACAGCCAAGTTGTTGTCCTTCAGT